CCCTCCCTCCCTCTCTCTCACTCTCTCTCTCTCTCTCTCACTCTCTCTCTCTCTCTCTCTCCCTCTCTCACTCTCTCTCTCTCTCTCTCTCTCTCTCTCTCTCTCTCTCTCTCTCTCTCTCTCTCTCTCTCTCTCTCTCTCTCTCTCTCTCTCTCTCTCTCTCTTTGCTCTGTCTTTTCTTAAATGGCATCCGACTATCGCAGATGCACCTTTGCCCCGAGCAGGTGTTCACGGGTCAAGATGATTCGGTGGAAACAACCGGGCAAGTAAAGTCTGTGGCTGATTGACCATGCAGTAGTTGAACCGGTTTTTGCAATGTGCGCGTGGCTCGTTGGGAGCTACATTTTCTGGACTTTACGAGTTATTGGAAGGTCTGCTTCTATTAGGATCGTTTTCTTGTGCCGTCTTACACTTTTTGAAGCTGATCCACCTGGCATCAGAGAGGCCTACAGGAAGCAAAGCCGCAGCCCAAAGATTAAGACATACAAATCTAAGCTTCCCCCTTTTTGGGATGGGATCTGATCCCTGTTCAATCTCAGGAGAATTGCCTGAGAATTGAATGACTAATGAGTGGTCCAAATGAACATGCACGTGCTTGTGAGTGTTCAGAGGACTTGCTGGAATCCGGCAGGGCTGGTGCAATTTCATGTCTCTGGATTTAGCCAGGTCTCGTGTGTTGGTTTGAGGGCAAATCAACAGACAGTGAGACAAACCCCCTAAGCCTATTGGCTGCGATTCACTGACTTTGCTAGGTCGAGGAGAAGACATCAGCAGACGGCTCGATAACCATCAAGGACGGGGTGTGCTGTCGGTGTGAAGGGCCCGATCGCCCAACAAACTCGTTGTTCGACATTGGCTCAATCCGTGCTGAGACTGCATGTTTGAAGTTGAACTGCAGCACATTTCCTGTTGCCTTGGATAGGCCAAAGCAGTGAGGAGCTCAGCCAACTACAGCGGGAAACCTCATACAGACCAGTGCCAGTTCAATCTGTGCGGTGTCTGTTCAAGTGTATCGTTTGTCAAACCATGTGTTCAGGAGTGGAACTCACTGAATCAAGGAGCTTGAAGGCCCAGCAGCTCAGTGAAAGACAATGGAACATGCGGCCAGTTACTTTGTGCGAAGCTTGTAGACTTGCCGTGGTCATTTTTTCCCACAGGCACTGGCAGGCAAAAGGCATGCACGGCAACATGATGGGTCACACAGATGTCAGCTGCTATCCACATGGAAGGAGGGGACGATGCTGTTCACGGACGTTCCCACCTCTGGCAATGCGCTTTGGCTACGAGTCTGAGGACTATCCAGGAGATGATCGAACAGCCTACTATGTCAAATTAACTGCCGTGATCTGGATTTTCTCGGGTGTGCTGTAAAGGAGGAGAGATGGTGATTCTTAGCCATGCTTGGCAGACTCACTATGCTGAAAAGTCTTGTGACGCTGGCCTCATGCGTTCAACTCAATGCACATTTTGTTGCTTGAGGTATTCTTCAGCTTTGGGATTGGAGGCTACGACGAGCTTAAGCTTGAGTGGCCAGAGTGAGCCGAGAGGGCGAGGGCTCCGGGCGGCCGGACAGGCTGGCATCGAGCAAAGCTCGAAGTCGGGTTTCGCTTTTTGGCATGAGGACAGTCTGCCAACAGAGCTGATGCTCGCTTGATTCTTTCCCATGAGTTTTGGCGTCACCTGATCTCCATGGCGGCTCTGAAGCTTTTACACCGCCATAATCACCGGAGCATCGACTGAGCGGTTTAAGCTTGCCCTCCAACACGTGACACTATTTGTGCTACCGAGATGTTTATTTCGGAATGTGTGAGCTGTGATAATGATCATGATACAAACAAGACACCCCGCCGGCACCGCCATTGCCAGCACCCATGTTGCATTTGGCAGGGCCATCACCACCATTTCTGTGTGCAATCAAATAGTTTTGCTCCATTGACTCTGTGGGGCCGTTTCCCCACATCCAAGCGAGAGTTGTTTCTGCGAGACTTTAACAGACTTTGTTTAGGCGCGACAAAGGCAAACTGCTGCATCTCACGGCTCGAGGTACAGTTTCAAGCCTCTAGCCGCAGTGTCGCGCTTGGAGAAAAAGATGAGCCGCCGTGCAGGATCCGTGGTGGTGTTGGGAGCCCTTGCCTGCCTGGTTTGGGGCCCCAGCTTCACGGGCAGCGTGCCCAGGAGGCAGGAGAGTGCCCTGGCTCGCATGGCGAGCTCCAAGTGGGTGAACCCTGAGGACCCTGAGATGTCCCACCCTAGTGGCCTCTACGTGCTGCCCCTGAAGCCCGCGAAGCCGCAGGAGAACTACATCTACACCTGGAAGAAGGGTGAGGATGGCTCGATCGAGGACTACGTCAAGACCCCCTTCAAGGGCCCTGAGCGCGCCGCTGACTACTACACCCAGCGCAAGGACAACGGAGCTTGGGACCACTGGGGCCCGCAGGGTGAGGGTGAGGCATAGGCTCAGAAAGTTGGACCTTTGCGCCGCACCCGCGTTAAGGTTTTTGGAAAAGTGCGACGAGTGTGCAGGTTTTGGTTTGCGTGCTTTGCGTTGAAAGACAAGTGAGATGCGGCACAGGAAACAAAGCATGGAGGGGGCTCAGGTAGAGCGCAAGAAGCAGGGCTGGGATGGGAGCAGGCAGAGCAGGGGACAGGACAAATTGTAATATGTCATTTTACAGAGACGAACAGGAGGCCACAGGATGGTTCCGGATTTTGTTGTCAACTGTCTCGTGGTGGGACTGTTCCCCACATCAAAGCGAGAGTTGTTTCTGCATTGCTGCATCTCACGGCTCGAGGTACAGTTTCAAGCCTCTAGCCGCAGTGTCGCGCTTGGAGAAAAAGATGAGCCGCCGTGCAGGATCCGTGGTGGTGTTGGGAGCCCTTGCCTGCCTGGTTTGGGGCCCCAGCTTCACGGGCAGCGTGCCCAGGAGGCAGGAGAGTGCCCTGGCTCGCATGGCGAGCTCCAAGTGGGTGAACCCTGAGGACCCTGAGATGTCCCACCCTAGTGGCCTCTACGTGCTGCCCCTGAAGCCCGCGAAGCCGCAGGAGAACTACATCTACACCTGGAAGAAGGGTGAGGATGGCTCGATCGAGGACTACGTCAAGACCCCCTTCAAGGGCCCTGAGCGCGCCGCTGACTACTACACCCAGCGCAAGGACAACGGAGCTTGGGACCACTGGGGCCCGCAGGGTGAGGGTGAGGCATGAGCAGATAGTTACACCTCCCTAGCTTTTTCAACTGCTGCATGCGATGGAAAACTGAGTGCAGTGGTCTGATTTTGTGCAGCAAGATTGCGTTGCAGGCATGTTCGGAGAAGGGGCATCTTTTTTGATGTCCGTTGCACCCGCATATTACCCATGAGAATTGGGTCCGTGGCCACGACTCAGATGCCAAGGCATGGAGCTCGGCCCGCAACCCAGGCGGATGCACTGGCCTGTGGTCTTTGGAGGTAGGTGCCCTCTTGTTTAACAAAGCCACTGTTAGCTCTGGGGTTCTGAAGTTCAACACTCCATTTGGAGCACAGTTGCGACGGTGTCCCCGAGCCTCGCAGGCCGCGCCAACCGCGTGCGCTTCGCAGTGCCGGAGCCGCGGGGCCTCCCCACGCAGCGGCCCAAGGAGTCGCTGGGTGGCCCGGGCGCCCAAGCGGGTCGCAGGTCGAGGCAGGCGTTTTGTTTTTTTTTGTTTTGTTTTTGTTGGGATTTAGACAAATGCCATAAGGGTTCCTTTGGGGCGACTTTGGCCACAACCCAATACTATGAGGAGTTTGAGCCTGGCACATATGGTAAAACTGACTGTGCTGGCTGCGTTGAAGAGCCTTTTCGTTGTTTTTCAGCGTGCAGGCAACGCCCGCTCAGGGGACGACACACAAACTAGCCACTGTTGGGGCTTCTTTGACTGAATCCACGAGCAAGAATCATGTTACTCAGGGAAGCGCTGCTCGGGTGGCTTTACGCGGGCTGGCAGAAGGCTTTTTTTTTCTCCCCGGATTTCAAGAGTTGTCAGCCTTTCGTGTAAGTATTGGCCACAACCAGAGCCTCGTGCAGCATATCACTTTGGCAGCATTTCCTGCGGGGTCATGTTGACAAGTGGGTCCTGAATGCCTTTGAAGCAAAACCCCGCATGCGATTCTGGTGTCCGCCATTTCCAGGCTTGCGTAGGTTGAGCAGGCCGCCGCCGATATCTTCGTGTTTCTTTTTGGCCTTCGGCGGTGCGCGTCATGGCGTGGCTTCCACGTACCGCGGTCGCACTTCTGGTCGTTTGGGTCGTTGCCTGCCGCGTGGCCTTTGTCGCCCTCCGGCCAAAGGCAACCACGGAGCCTGAGGTTCGAGGATTCGCATCGCTCCAAGGGAATTTCCCCCACACAGAGGAGCCATTTGAGGACTTGGATTCGGACAGGGTGGAGAAGACCCCCAGACGCCGCCGGCGGCAGAGGTGACGAACGCCACCAGATGTCTAGATGTGATTCAAGCGAATTTGCAGAGCTTGTGGCCGGATTTGTAAGAGATCCATGGGATGTCTTAGGCTGCAAGGCGCCTTTGATTTTCTTGGCCCCAAGTACACAAGGGGGTGAAAGCACCCAGCCCTGTGAGTGCAGCAGGAACACCGATAGCACCCGGGGCTGCTGAGTGCAACTCTTCCTTACCTTGCGTCGGCCAAGTGCTTTTGCATTAGACGGATTTGAGCGGCAGGCATGGTGAAAAGGGGCAGTGAGCGGGATGTCCCGTGCGGTGTGCCCAGATTGGTGGAAGAAATTGAGATGTGAAGCAGGAGTTTTTTTTTTTTTTGTAATAGGCTCAGGCAGCCTCGGTTTGGAGGATGCCTGCCAGGTTTCGGTGATATAGTCGGCATTCGGTGAGTTGCTTGCCGAAGCACTCGAGGGTTCGGACCTTTGTCCCTTCCGCTTAGCAGCACGGCGTCGTAACCGTTTGGCATCGGGGATTCTGGGCCAGCAGAAGATGGGGGCAAATAAAGCTTGTGCTGGTTGTGTAACATATGTACCCTCTTTGAACACTGCACCTTTTGCCGCTCTCGGGAGGCGATTCCCAAAAAGCAGAGCGAAATTCGAAAGGCCCCCTTTTGGTTTCGTCCAGCAAGAAAGCTGGCCAGTCCCAACCTGCGAACTAGACGACTGCATTGCCTGAGGTCAGCAGACCACCAAGCATTTGATGGACGTGATGGAGTGACCGGAGCGCACTGAGAAGCCGGACAAAGGGCCAGGAATGCAGGAGAAAGTAGGAACACGTTGCGCAGAAGCGGAAGGGAGACGAAGGCAACGCAAGCGGCAAGCGAAATTCATGGCAAGAAATGTCATGTGCGTCTTGCGCCCACAACAGTATATCGAAGCAGCACATGACTCGCACGTATTTCTCACTGTCATCGTTAGGCCAAGGCCAGCGATCGCTTAGCTTAGTACCACTTGCGCTCACACAGAAAAACACGTGTACTGGCATCCCAACATCCACTTCAGACCTGATCAAATGGCCTTTGGACAAATCTGCGAAGGCAGCTCAGCCGACCACTTTCCATGTGCCGCCATGAGGGCGATCCAGGAATCTGTGGAAAAGTCACGGCAGGCCGGGCGTGCCAACGAAGGCAGCTCAAGCGATCAGGCGGATTTGCATAGGAGTTTCAAAGGGGAATGCCCCCGAACTTGGACAGAAATCCATTGGCTTTTCCGATGCCCAAAGGCCCAGACCACGCTTACGTGTCAAAAGCTCTGAAATGGACCAAAAGAGGTGTTGCATCCAATTTGATCATTGGACCTGATGGACATTGAGAAATGGTTACCTCGCCCCTCGTATTTCAGTCTTGTGGATATATCTTGCCTTTGAGAGAGACTGTTCAAGTTGAATGCTTGTTCCGGGACTTGATTTCGCAGGGGGCCCAAAGAGCCTTTTTTCTTGTGAATCTGGTTTGGCTCCAACAAGTGCTTCGCTTCTCCCAGGATCCTCCTTCGGCTTTTGGAGCGTGTTTGCCTTTTGGTTTGAGGCGGCACTGGAGCGCACACAGCTGCGGTTGCAGCACGAGTCTGCTGAGAAGGAGGCAGAAGGGGGGGGGAAGCGCAGGTCTTTGGTGCGTGGGGAGCACAGGATCACTTGGCAAGAGCTGCTTTGGAAATTGTTTGTTTGCTTTCGGGTATCTTTGACGTTTCTTGGCATGTGTCTCTCACCTTCTATCTCTCTATCTCTCTATCTCTCTATCTCTCTATCTCTCTATCTCTCTATCTCTCTATCTCTCTATCTCTCTATCTCTCTATCTCTCTATCTCTCTATCTCTCTATCTCTCTATCTCTCTATCTCTCTATCTCTCTATCTCTCTATCTCTCTATCTCTCTATCTCTCTATCTCTCCATCTCTCTATCTCTCTATCTCTCTCTATCTCTCTATCTCTCCATCTCTCTATCTCTCTATCTCTCCATCTCTCTATCTCTCTATCTCTCTATCTCTCCATCTCTCTATCTCTCTATCTCTCCATCTCTCTATCTCTCTATCTCTCTATCTCTCTATCTCTCTATCTCTTTTTTTTATATCTCTATCTCTCTATCACTCTATCTCTCCATCTCTCTCTCTCTCTATCTCTCCATCTCTCTATCTCTCTATCTCTCTCTCTCTATCTCTCCATCTCTCTGTCTCTCTATCTCTCTATCTTTCTATGTCTCTCTCTATGTCTCCATCTCTCCATCTCTCTATCTCTCTATCTCTCTATGTCTCTCTCTATCTCTCCATCTCTCCATCTCTCCATCTCTCTATCTCTCCATCTCTCTATCTCTGTATCTCTCCATCTCTGAATCTCTCTATCTCTCCATCTCTCTATCTCTCTATCTCTCTATCTCTCTATCTCTCCATCTCTCTATCTCTCTATCTCTCTATCTCTCCATCTCTCTATCTCTCTATCTCTCTATCTCTCTATCTCTCTATCTCTCTATCCCTCTATCTCTCTATCTCTCCATCTCTCTATCTCTCTATCTCTCCATCTCTCTATCTCTCTATCTCTCTCTATGTCTCTCTCTATCTCTCCATCTCTCCATCTCTCTATCTCTCCATCTCTCTATCTCTCTATCTCTCCATCTCTCCATCTCTGTATCTCTCCATCTCTCTATCTCTCTATCCTTCTATCTCTATTGTTTCATCTCTCTATCTCTCTATGTCTCTATCTCTCTATCTCTCTATCTCTCTATCTCTCTATCTCTCTATCTCTCTATCTCTTTATCTCTTTATCTCTCCATCTCTCTATCTCTCTATCTCTCTATCTCTCCATCTCTCTATCTCTCCATCTCTCTATCTCTCTATCTCTCTATCTCTCTATCTCTCTATCTCTCCATCTCTCTATCTCTCTATCTCTCTATGCCTCTCTCTATCTCTCTATCTCTCTATCTCTCTATCTCTCTATCTCTCTATCTCTCTATCTCTCTATCTCTCTATCTCTATCTCTCTATCTCTCTATCTCTCTCTCTCTATCTCTCCATCTCTCCATCTCTCTCATCTCTCTATCTCTCCATCTCTCCATCTCTGTATCTCTCCATCTCTGCATCTCTCTATCTCTCCATCTCTCTATCTCTCTATCTCTCTATTTCTCTATCTCTCCATCTCTCTATCTCTCTATCTCTCTATCTCTCCATCTCTCTATCTCTCTATCTCTCTATGTCTCTATCTCTCCATCTCTCTATCTCTCCATCTCTCCATCTCTCCATCTCTCTATCTCTCCATCTCTCTATCTCTCTATCTCTCTATCTCTCCATCTCTCTATCTCTCTATCTCTCCATCTCTCTATCTCTCTATCTCTCCATCTCTCTATCTCTCTATCTCTCTATCTCTCCATCTCTCTATCTCTCTATCTCTCTATCTCTCTATCTCTCTATCTCTCTATCTCTCTATCTCTCTATCTCTCTATCTCTCCATCTCTCTATCTCTCTATCTCTCTATCACTCTATCTCTCCATCTCTCTATCTCTCTATCTCTCTATGTCTCTATCTCTCCATCTCTCTATCTCTCTATCTCTCTATCTCTCTATCTCTCTATCTCTCTATCTCTCTATCTCTCCATCTCTCCATCTCTCTATCTCTCTATCTCTCCATCTCTCTATCTCTCTATCTCTCCATCTCTCTATCTCTCCATCTCTCTCTCTTTCTCTCTCTATCTCTTCATCTCTCCATCTCTCTATCTCTCTATCTCTCTATCTCTCCATCTCTCTATCTCTCTATCTCTCTATCTCTCTATCTCTCCATCTCTCTATCTCTCTATCTCTCTATCTCTCTATCTCTCTATCTCTCTATCTCTCCATATTCCAATCTAGTCGAACCTATCCTGTTTATCATATCGTGTCTATCCTGTCCAATCCTGTCCTATCCTATCCTATGCTATGGGTTTTCCTCTCGTATCCTGTTCTGATGGATAAGCCAGGCGTCACCTCACGAGGGTTGGCGTTTCTGTGGAGGCACTGGTGGCATGCAGCAGCAAACAGAAACACCCAAGTATACATTTCGGGCCTATGTGCCCAGGTCGGGGCTCCTTGTATGCTCATAGCGTTTGCAATTGGAATTCATAGCCCCAATCAACGGATCCATGGACACAGGCTGGAGGCATTTGCATGAAAACTGACGAGGAACCTCCCATTCACTTCAGGCAAGGCGGCGGGAGGAGGCTGCGCGCTTGCAGAAGGCCCCAGATCCGATTGCGGGGAAGGCCTCTGCCAGAGCCATGGGAATGTGTTTTTGCTTGAAAGGTTTGGGAGGTCCTCCAATTTCGTTGGCAGACACAGGTCCACATGTAAATGATGTCCACTACCAATTCCCCAATTACGATTCATGCCCACATGAGTGGAGTTCATGATCAGATGTCGGCCTGAATGGGAAACAGTGAATTGGTCTATCTTCGCACAGGCCGGGATTCCATGAACTTTGGCCATGGGAAATGTGAGGGCTGACGCACGTTGTGCTTTGATCTTGCGGAGAGTACGGATATTTTTCTGTTTGCCATCACGCGATGTGTGGCAATGTCGCACCTTGAAGCGTCTGATACCGCGGTTCACATGCCTTCGGTTTGGGTCAAGGCTTTGGCCATGTCTCCTGCAGGAGCGCTGCTTCCAGTCTCGTCGTGACCTCATCAAGGCGGGGGAGGGCAGCGAGGGATTCCGCAGCCTATGGATGGCATCCATTGCAGAGCGAAAGGAATATGAAGAATCAAGCTGGCCGTGCTAAGTGTGACACTTCCTTAACAAAATATATAGCGACTTCACCAAGAAAGGTTGCGACCTCAACCTTGCAGATTCCTTGCTTTGGGGAGCTGGCAGGAACCAGCGATTGGGGGGCAACTGATTCTGAGACAAAGCTGCTTGAGCTGAATCTGGGATGGGACCGGCAAGCTTTTCCAGAGGCTATGGATGTGGCGCGAGAAGAGGACGCTTTAGTCTTCCTGGAGCAGGATGGAGTTATTTGAACATGCCTCACGGTTGCATTGCTTTGCCTTGAACTTGGGTGTGTCCTGCTTGAGACCCATGTTTAGCTGGTTTGGTTTTGTTTAAACGGAAGTCAAAAGGAACATCATGCTCAGGTCCCGCTATTTTGAGGCACACCCAATTGTGGCCCTATATTTGCACAGTGTTCCGCTAGTCCAATTTCGAAACTTGGAAGCATGGAATGCTTTGATCGCTATGTGCAAGCGGTGACCAGGAGCCCTGGCGCTTCATTTGTTTGGCATTTGGACTTGTCAGATGCGGGGCAACCTGGACATGCTGGTAGCGACGGATGAGTACGGCTCCACGCTGTTGCATGAGGCAACCGAGCTGCATGCAAAGAGTTCGAGAGGTATTCGAAGCTCAGAAACAGCTTCGGTTGACATCTCGTTTCAACAAGCTGCGTATTTTGGCTGCGTATTTTGGATGGCCAAGTTTCATCAGTTGCGCGGAAACACGGTTTTCGTGGGAGGCATGTTCCCGCGGCATGCGCAAGCTCGCACTGGCTGTGCTGGAGCAGACAAAGGAACCGGCTGATCAGATGGGCGGAGGCTGAAGCTTGGTGTTTGTGTGTGTATGTGTGTGTATGTATATGGTTGTGAATTTAGTGAGGGCCCTTTGGTGGACATCATTTAGGTGGGGATTCACGTCCACTAGTCACTTTTGAGGTGGTTCCCCGTCAAAATTCACAGCTCCCCTCAATCCGCGACTTGGATTCTTAAACGCGGCCTGGCAGGACGACCAGGAGCACGCGCGGCTGCTTTTCCAGCGAGACTACAGGGATCAGACGCGCGGTGCCCTGATAGCAACTGAGCAGTACGACAGTAGCCAGTGACCTGAGATAAGATGCAAACTGAGAGACGGATGGAAGCAGCGCTTGCAATGCATGATGCTTGTTTTGGTGGCTTAAACCAGCCATCCATTTTCGTAGGTTTTGAAGGCTTGTCGTTGGTTTAGTGGCATAGTGGTAGTTTCCGTATGAAACCCACTACCGGTTCGTCACTTTCAGGGGATCTGCAAACGGAGAGCTCCTCGTTTGCTTCGCCCAGCCACCCAGCACCTCCGCGCCTTTGCAGCCTCTTTCGGCTGTGAGACCTCGGCTTCGACATGACGGACGTGCCGCTTGGACGGTTTTGGGGAGCCTTCTCTGGTGAAAATGGGGGGGGGGAGAGCTTCCGAAATGGAGGTCATGGAGGTTGGGCATGAATCCCAACGAGAATGATGTGCATCAAGGGACCCCTGATTCAATTTTGTATAGATGTAGTTTCTTGTGGGAAGATCTGCCAATTGGCTTGTCCACTCGCAGAGCTGGTCAGGGGCTCGCGAGCCGTGCTTTTGTAGAAGGGTCTTTGGGCATCGTTGCGCCAGCAAGGCTTTGCAAGGACACTGACTCCGATGACTCGGCAGGCAGCCCGACTGCAGCATCAGATGTCCCACCAGCCTCACCTTGCAAAAGGTGGACACTTCATCTTGACCGGGCCAGAGCAAAGACACCTGGAAACGTGCTGGAAACCACTGCGAGCTGTCATGTGCAGCTCTGGCACATCAACAGTTTTGTGTCAAAACTCCCAAGACGGTGGCTTTCCAAGGGTGCACAAGCTAAGAACACACTCGCGCGCACCCAGAAACTACGGACGTGGAGGAACAGAGCGACGGAATTCTGAGACTCGGCGTTTCAGTTGGGCTCTGGGCTGGATGGGCATGTGACAAAATAGGACCCCTAAAATGCTGGGTTCCCTTCAAAAGGCGTGCCCGCGCAAAACACGCACCTGGATGGTTTTGCTTGGGACTTCGGACCGTAGGAAAATCGGAATTGCGGAGCGGCCGGCTTTTCATGTATGCGACAGGAAGGATGCCAGCAATGCTGTCCACACAGCGTCCAGGCCAGATTGAGCACTTTCGCTCATTAGTATCGAGTAGTATAGGAAAGCAAACACAACATCCTGTCAGCCCTGACTTGCTGTCAAACGGGTCCTTGCTACCCAGACAACTGCACTCCCAGGGCAAACAGGTTGGAACCCAGATTGCTTGACTCCTTCAATTCATTTGACAGCCCCCAACACACTACCAGATTGTCCGACGTCCTGTTGTTTCCCCAGCTTGCTCGCCCCAGCAAGAAGGGGCAAACACAAACTGACTCTGTGGGCATCAGGATCCTCGCTGACAAGGAAGGTTTGTCTTCCGAAAGAGAACGCGGTTTCTGTTGTAATTCCTTGCAAAGGCTGTTGTGAAGTGCTTGAGAGTGCAGCCATGCTTGCAAGGAATGCTGATTTTGATCCACCACCTGTGCGTTGCCTGGCATGAATTAGACTTAGACTGATGACTGCCTACAGTGATGGTAGGTCCCAGCAGGAACCAGCAAAACAAGGACCACAGTAGGCGTTGACTGGATGTCAATGGGATTTGGAGCCACTGTTATGCTTCAGCTGGCCCATTTTCACAGCACCTGTTTGGCTGCTCTCTCGCACGCACGCACGCACGCAGGCACGCACGTACGCACGCACGCACACATGCACGCACGCACGCACGCACGCACGCACACGCAGCTGACCTTGTTTTCGGTGTCTGCCTCCGTGGCGCGGGAGACACAACCCGACTCTGTCAAGCCTTCAAGACGCCATTGTTTTGGCAAGGCATCCTGCTGGTGGCCTTCATGTTCATGTTTCAGGCCGGATTTCTCATTGCCTGAAGACTGCCCACGTTTGCTTCGTCTGGTGAACCTTGCAGTTGGCAACTCGCAGAATCGGCCATCCGCCCGGCGAACCGAGGGCTATGGATGTATGGTGGGTGCGCCGCAGCACGCTCTGAAGCACAAGCTGGAGATCACCCACGACCAAGCGGCTGATTTCCAGGACCAGACTGACCATAGGCAACGACCAACTGAGGCACAGGCACTGTGTTAGTATTTCTTTTCCATGTGGGGCCCCACGAGGGTTGTCTTGTTTGTCTTGAAGGGAAACCAGATCGGTTGCTCCGTTTGGAGACAACACAGACTGTACTGGTATGGCATGTTGCTCCCCGAATAGGAAGCCACTGCGACTTTCCAACTCGCCAAGATGGCGATGCGAGTGTGCCAGGCGCCCAGGCGTCTCGTGCCAGAGTGGATGCAACTGGGGTTAGGGGGGTGGGGATGGTTTAACGGGAAATCAAAAGGAGCCACCACTTGGGGGTTCCCTATCCTCCGGCACATTCAAGCTCGAGTCCAGGCCAGATCGCGTTCCTTGTGTTTCTGGAGCCCACCGGCCTCATGGCTGCAGCGAGTTGGCTTGTGGACTCTGAGAGCAGTTGG